GGGGAACTTTTTCCTCAACCAAAAGTTTGATCATTTGATTAATCTCTCCCTCACCTTCCATTCCCTGTGAATTAATAAAATTAATAAACACATCAAATAGAGAAACAATTTATCAAGCATTTGGTGAACATTGTAGTAGCAGAAATTATAGTGGTAAAACTAATTATTTTGAACTTCAACTATTGCAAACTATACTGAAATCCTTAGAATGGAATGAATAACAATAAATTTAATTAAAATAACAAGAAATAGGTTGTAATTTATTCCAAGTGACATGAGGAAGTTGGTCTTTGAACTATGGAAATCGAGTAAATGATTAAATCATCAGCTTATAACATCATGAATGTACAAAAAATAAAAAATAGAAGCAAAAAAAGGGATGGAATCTTGATTACCTCTATTGATGGAGCGTTTAGAACTATTCTCCTCACCAAATTCTGATGCCTCTGTCAGATGTACAAAGCATTAAGAATAAAAACATCAGCTTTAAATGAATTGATAATTTCTCTACAACTAATTCCCTGATAAAATAAAAAGTAAAAAAATAAAAGACAGAAAACTACAACAATAAAAGGTGTGTGTGTTCAACACAGATGAAGGAGCTAAAGGGTTTGCAAAATTCAAAAAGAAGATTCATCTTAATTTTATATATAACAACAACGACAACAAAAATAAATAAATTTATAAATAAAACTAACAAAACTCCATTGACTTACGGATATAATGTTAAGGGGATAAAGAGATATGAAAAACTAACAAAAGAGGGAGGGAGAAAGTCAAAAGATGGCATATAGTAATCCTAAAGACCTTAAACAGGTTGTGTGAACCATTTTCCAACAATAAAAAACTAAAAAGGAAAGTCAAACATCGATTTTAGCGAATCGAATCGATTCACTTCACGATTCACCGATTTGGTTCACCGATTCACGTACGATTCATGGCTATTTGCGATTCATACAACCTGTTCGTATTGATTACTCACTGAATCAAATCGCAAATCGCAATCGTATGAAATCAAAACCATACAGAAACACAAACAATTGTGCCCAACTTCTCTGCACTTCTCTTTCAGTTATCCATAAAGAAATTGAAGAAAAAAAATTCAATCAACACTACATAAACAAACCTGCTAAATAGTAGCTAAAATGACATATGAAAAATAATAAGGAACTAATAATTAAACCAAGCAACCATATGACATAACAAATGTTCTGCAATAAGAAATGAGTATATATGTTTTTATCATTTATCATTTTCAGTAACTCAGAAATGACAATGTTAAATTTAAAAAAAAATTTGTAAACTAAAAACAAATTGAACAATTTTATTCCCAATGAAAGCCAAGCATCCTATTAAAGAATTAGGATACCTTTAATGGGTTAACATGGTGCATTGAAATGCTATGGATATGGACAGCAGCTGCAAAAAACAAAAACAAAAAAATAAAATATTCAAATAGCTCCAACTATTCAATCCTCCCATAAGCAAAATATGAACCAACCCTTTTGGATCCATTTGGTTTGCTCATGGGAAGCAGCCAACGCATTGCCACAACAAAAAACAAAATTTGGAATAAAAAAAAAAAGAAGTAAAAATTAGGCCACAATATTGATATTGATATTGTGCACTATTTGGACACCGAAATTGCTTAAGAGGTTGACACACCACGGCTATGTAGTGAAGAAACAACTCATTGTAAGGGAAAAAGAGAACTGCTCATCAATTGGTGAAGGCATTGTTAAAATATTGATGAAATTGTTTACCAAATCAATTGACAGAACCCAAGACATGAAAGAAAGCATAACATACCCACAAAAACACAAAAGCATGAGAGAGAGAGAGAGAGAGAGAGAGAGAGTATCCAAATGGAACTTAATTTAACAATACTAAGAATGGGAATAAAGGAAAGACTTACTGGAAGAGAGTAGTTGGAAAAGAGAAAACTTGCAGCTCTCAACCTTGGTCCTTGATGAACTTTGGGGGCCTACAACTCGAAAAATAAAATTAAAAGCATCAGAGAGAGAGAGAGAGAGAGAAAGAGGCAGTGGAAGTTTTAAATTTTTATCTCAAGCAAATGAAAGTTTCAAATGATCTTAATAAGTAAATATAAGATTAGAAAGTTTCAATCTCAGGCCTATGTCATTCCAAATATTAGAAAATATAAGTAAGCAAGCTCCATCATCCCTTGTCCAAAATTTGCCACTGTTTATTATTAAAAATAACATCTAACTCCCACTATTTGTATCACCAATTTGAATATACCTCTATTTTTGGTAAACCTTATCACCAATTTAAATTCACTCACTATTTTAACAACAAAAAAGTAGAATTATATAAGCAGCTAGCATTAAAAATTAAACTATTTTCAGTGAGGCATTTTACCGAACATGGTGTATGCATGAAGACACACACAAAGTATAGAACGGTAAAGAGACAAATTTTAATTGAGGCAATATAAATGAGAAACAAATCACATAATATAAATGAGAAACACAATCAAACCCAAATGAGAAACAAATCACATAAAATTTAGACACCCAACGAAAACCCAAATAAAAATTTTGAGGCATTCTGGAGACCCATTTTAGAAAAATATTTCAGAGATTTTATCATTTATCATTTTCAGTAACTTAGAAATGACAATATTAAATTTAAGAAAAAATTCGTAAACTAAAAATAGATTGAACAATTTTATTCCCAATGGAAGCCAAGCATCCTATTAAAGACTTAGGATACCTTTTATAGGTTAACATAGTGCATTGAAATGCTATGGACAGCAGCTGCAAAAAACAAAAACAAAAAAAATAAAATATTCAAATAGCTTCAACTATTCAATCCTCCCATAAGCAAAATATGAACCAACCCTTTTGGATCCATTTGGTTTGCTCATGGGAAGCAGCCAACGCACTGCCACAACAAAAAACAAAATTTGGATTCCACCAAAAAAAAAAGAAGTAAAAATTAGGCCACAATATTGATATTGATATTGTGCACTGTTTGAACACCGAAATTGCTTAAGAGGTTGACACACCACGGCTATGTAGTGAAAAAACAGCTCATTTTAAGGGAAAAAGAGAACCGCTCATCAATTGATGAAGGCATTATTAAAATATTGATGAAATTATTTACCAAATCATAACATACCCACAAAAACACAAAAGCATGAGAGAGAGAGAGAGAGTACCCAAATGGGGGCCTACAACTCGAAAAATAAAATTAAAAGCATCAGAGAGAGAGAGAGAAAGAGGTAGTGGAAGTTTTAAATCTTTAATCTCAGGCAAATGAAAGGAAAGAAAAATTTATATAATATTTTAAAACAAGTAAAACAATTCACACCTTAATTAAAAAAATAGAAAATAAATAAACCTCTATCATTAAAACAAGTAAAACAATCAAACAATAGATCATTGAAAAAGAAAACTCTTCTATCATTAAAACAAACATTGCAAAATCAATAAAACATTGTGAAGAAGAAAGAAAAATTTATAAACATTTCTTCTCTATGACATGAAAATATTACTTCAAACCCCAATGACAGCATTTTGAGATTAATGTTGGGATGACAGTTGCTATAAAATTGATGTTGGGATTAATCCCAAGATTAATCCCAATATCTCCAAACATTTTGTCCCAAGATTCCCAAGATTAATGTTGGGATGATAGTGTATACCTGTAATAAAATTGGACAGGAGAAGATTAATCCCAAGATTATTTCTTCTTTATTTTGTACTTTTGTAAGAAACCATCAATTACATTAACTAAGACAATTTAAAAAATGAAATTGTTGCCCTAAAAATTAGCCAAAGTTAAAAGGATTTGAAACTCATTCAATAGCCATTCTAATATCGATACCTGAAATTAAAAAAAATAAAAATTAAATTTGAAAAATAATAATAAAGTTAGATTAGATGGATTAAAGCAAGAAGGTCAATGTTCAGTATTTTCAAATCAATGTCACATAGTATGTAATAAACTTTTGAACTGTCTAACACCACTTGCCATCACACACAGTCCAACTCACTTTCTTCACATATTTCCTTGTCTAATTTTACGACCTTTATTATGTACTTGACAAAAAATGAAAACACTTGTTTTCCTTTACTAACTAAACCAGGTAAGAAGAACAATGGGACAACAAAAACTCTACACCACGATTTTGT